AGGAATAACAAGTGTAATATCCACTAAAGCAAAGCTTAAGTATATAACACAAACAAACTGGCCATAACTCATCCGACTAAGGGCATCGGCTACCACGTTAGCTTTCCCAGGATGGTAGCTAATCGTACAATCGTAGTCCTTAACCAGTTCCAACTACCTACGCTGCCGCATATTCAGCTCCTTCTGAGTGAAAATGTACTTTAGGCTCTTGTGGTCGGTAAAAATCTCACACTTGCCTCCATAGAGGTAGTGTCGCCAAATCTTCAAGGCATGAACGACTGCAGCTAACTCAAGATCGTGAGTGGGGTAGTTCTGCTCGTGAGGCTTAAGCTGCCTCAAAGCATAGGCTACGACCCTCCCTTGCTGCATAAGGACACATCCCAAACCCATCTTCGAAGCATCACTATAGATGGTGAACTCCAAAGTAGGATCTGGAATGGACAGAACGGGTGCGGTAGTGAGTCTCCTCTTCAACTCCTGGAAACTCTCCTCACACCTAGAACTCCAATCGAACCTCACGGCTTTCTTCGTAAGGTTGGTTAGTGGCTGGGCTATCTTAGAGAAACCCTCGATAAACCTCCGGTAGTATCCTGCTAACCCCAGGAAACTACGAACATCAGCGGCACTTCTTGGCGTATCCCACTTGCTTACTGCCTCGATCTTGCTGGGATCCAACTCAATGCCCCTCGCTGTCACAATGTGGCCAAGGAATGCCACACGATCCAGCCAAAACTCGCACTTCGAGAACTTAGCATACAGCTTCTCGCGACGAAGAGTCTCCAGCACAATCCTCAAATGCTCCTTGTGCTGGTCGATGCTCCGAGAATAAACCAGGATATCGTCGATAAACACGATAACAAACTGGTCCAGGAAGGGATGAAAGACCCTATTCATAAGGTCCATAAACACGGCCGGGGCATTGCTAAGTCCAAATGGCATAACCACGAACTCATAATGGCCAAATCGGGTACGGGAGGCAGTCTTAGAAATATCAGACTCCCGGATCTTTAGTTGATGATAGCCAGAACGCAAGTCAATCTTGGAAAAGACGCTGGCTCCCCTCAGCTGGTCGAAAAGGTCCTCGATGCGAGGAAGGGGATACTTGTTCTTGACTGTAAGGGCATTCAACTCCCGATAGTCAATACACATGCGCATCGATCCGTCTTTCTTCTTCACGAATAGGACGGGTGCTCCCCATGGCGAAACACTCGGCTGAATAAAATCGAGCTTAAGCAACTCCTGAATCTGAGCCTTGAGCTCTTGAAGCTCCTTTGGCGCCATACGATAAGGGGCCTTAGACACGGGACCAGCTCCCGGTACTAAATCAATGGTAAACTCAATCTGACGATCAGGCGGTCCTCTGGGCAATTCATCAGGAAAAACATCAAGGTATTCGCAAACAATAGAAACTCGCTCCGGAGTTCACTCAGAATCATTCTCGGCTACCATAGATACAAGATAGCCTTGACAGCTACCCTTGGAAAGGCTCTTCCTAGCTTGCATAGAAGAGACAATACGAGGTACAGTCCTCGATTTCACCCCAAAGAAAATAACTGGCTGATCGGAATCAGGAAAGAGAGTGACTTCGCGCTCTTGGCACCGGATGTCAGCTCGATAGCGAGTGAGCCAGTCCATGCCCAAGATTTCATCAAAGTCTCGCATTTCAATAACATAAGCATCAACACCCAAAACTCGACCGCCGATAGAAATAGAAATATCACGAATCAAGGAATCGGAGATGATAATTTTTCCCGAGGCTAGACTAACCTCGAGAGGATCGACTTTGCATACATTACTAACAGGTAGAGCCTAAAGGCAACGAGAAGAGATAAAAGAATGAGTGGCTCCAGTATCACATAATGCAAAGACAGGCACATTCGATATAGAGAGCATTCCAGACATAGTACTTGCGTTGTTGGTCGCCTCGTCATGAGCGATGGTATAAACACTAGCCTGGCGCTCAGCTCTCTGTTGATGTAGTGGGGGCTGCCTGAGCTGCTGCTACGGGTAAGATGGAGGGGGAAGCTGCTACTGCTGATGGGGCTGCTGGTACGGCAGCTGTCTCGGGGGCTCGGGGCAGTTGCTGAAGAAATGACCGGGCTTCATGCAGTTGAAACAGACCCTTTGGGTGAAACGACAATCTCCAGGATGATAACGGCCACACTTAGGGCATTTCAGATTCTGACCCTGGGCAGCGGGGCGCTCACCGCGACGATCATTCCCGCTACGCTTTCCCTTCCGGTTATCCCGGTGGGAATCTGACTTCTTCTTGCCCAAACTAGAGCTGGGCGCAACAGCTGTAACTGGCGGAACCATCTGGACCTGCTGATAGGATAGAGTAGCTGCCATCTGGCAAAC